ACTTCCTTGATACAGATTGAGCTTGTTCAGGTAACACTTGACAGCCATATGTCCTGTCAAGAGGCCTGTTGTAATCCGCAATTTATTCCTGCTAAGCATTAGCAGTTCTTTTGCGGTTTTGGAGCTAGGTCCTTGGATAAAAACTTTGCTGTGCCTGTGCCCCTGTCTGTTTCTCCAGTGGACATTCTGCTTTTCCCTGATCCAGAGTTTTAATGCACTACGGGCCATTCATTTGGGTATTCCCAGTACTGGCTCTGGACCAAGATAAGATGCCGATGATCCTTGCCTAGCTAGCTCATCGGCTTTTTCGTTGCCTTGGATGCCGCTGTGGCCCGGCACCCAGAATAATTTAATTCTGTTCCGTCGAGCCAGAGCTTCCAGTTCACCTAGGCATTCCCAGACGAGTCCCGACGATACCTTTGGGCTCATAAGCGCCCCAAGTGCCGCCTGACTGTCTGAGCATATATTGATGAGCTTATCTGAATAAGCTCTTCTATTGTTTTCTCTCGCACATTGTAGAATGGCGAAGATTTCTGCCTGGAATACGGTTGAGTGTTTACCCAAGGAAAAGGATAAACTTACCCTTGGTCTTTCCCCAAATACTCCAGCTCCTGTTCCTTCAGCGGTCTTTGACCCGTCTGTATACCAGGTTAGTCCATCCTGAAGGAATGTTATATCTGTCCACATTCCTCGATCCATTTTGTTCACCTGGAATGGTTTGTGGTAGTGATAAAGAGGGGTCATCTGGTCCGATCTCATTTGGAGTAGAGGTCCCCCGATAGGATTTCCCATCTTTGTGTGTCCTGTTTCTGTCCTATTTCCCAGAGACAAGACACTTTGTTGTCGATAGAGTCCCATTCTTGCCTCCGCCTGGATCACTATGTGAAGAGGCGGAAGGTCCAGAAGCGCCTTCATTGATGCAGTGGGCGTTGATTTCATCGCCCCTGTTATGCCTCAGACAAGCAAGTCTTTGCACCTTGCTGAGGCTGAGCATTGTTGTTTGTTGCATTACCTTAGGCCACCATACCAAGGATGCATATGTTACTGAAGGCCTCACCACTCCAGTGTACAGCCAGTGCACCATCTGTGGTCTAAGGCCCCAGATTTTTCCATGAAGGCGTCTGACTACCGCTAGTGTAGTCACCGCCCTCCTTGTGACATTTTCCAAATGTCGGTTCCAGGTCAGTTTGGTATCAAGCGTGATTCCTAGATACTTGACCTCCCCCGAGAGAGGAATCTCATCACCGCAGAGCCTAGTCCCTCAAGTATTCTGCGCTTGGTGAAGGGGATTATTACGGTCTTTGTAGGACTAATATTTAGTCCCTCCCGTGTCACCCATAGTTCCACAATCTTCAAGGCCCTTTGCATTCGCTCCCTTACTGTTGTGTTAAACTTACCTCTCACTAACACGACCAAATCGTCTGCGTATCCCAGAGTGTTGAAACTAGCCCTGTTGAGACTATTAAGCAGTCCGTCCATAACGAGATTCCACAGCAGAGGGGAGAGAACTCCCCCCTGCGGGCATCCTCCCGCCACCCGGACTGCAACAGTCTCATTAAAAATATCAACAACGCAAACTTTCACTAAAAATATCAACATTTTGTTTTCCCTCGTATAATTAACAGATGGAGAGTTTCATTTTTAATTTAGAAAAAGATACTAAGAAGTCAAATAATTTGGCAACACACTGCTTAAAAAATCATCAAAATCGGTCCATTAAAATAAAATATATTAACCTTTAAAATACATCAAAATTTTAAGGTGTAAAAACTATACATTTTAGTCATATACTTTTCTAATGAAATAAACCTTTATTTTTTTACTAGAATCCAAAAATCAATTAATATATAGGGTGTTCCATTACAAAAAACGTAACTTTGATGCGTAACTTTTTTTTGGGACACCCTGTAGAACTCTACATAATTTTAGAAAATACTTTAAGTTGACTTACATAAGCTCAGAAAATTTCACTTCAATACAAACTTTTGTTCTCCTTGCAAAAACCGCGTCGTATATGACGCGCCACCCTGTATAATTCGATTTCAATCAAAATTTCAATGATTAGAATATAAACAGAATAGGTATAGCTTATGTATTAGATTTATTTATTTCAATACATTTACTTAGAAAAAGAATTAAAAAAATCAAAATATTAAGAAGGAAATAATTAAGAATTTACTAAAATTACTAAAATAAAAAATTAAAAGCAACGAAAAAAAAAGGAAAACATTTTAGTATTTTATCTACAAAACACAATACAGAAGGTTTCACAGTAATTAAATTCCGAGGTAAAAGTCTCTGGGCACTCCACTATAGGTACTAATATCACAAATAAAAGATAGGAAACCTCACACTACAACAGAAAAGTGTATTTTCCTATGGCAGGTACTTCTTCATCATCACCAGACTGTCTCACCTCGCTTTTGGCCTTAAACAGAGGTAATTTTATGTCGTTTTTCGCATTTCGACTCGTTGAAGAACCAAGAGCGATAATGAGAGACAATTAAGACGAGAAACGTCTGAAAAAAAAACTCGGCCTAGCTTGATAAGAGAGCAAACGGCGGTCTGTCAATGAAACCATTACGGATCAAGGAAAATAGTACTTCACTGCCTTTTTCGTACCAAAGTATATAACCAATTAATTGCGAAAAAGGAATGAAAATGCCGAAGAAGCTTTTGGTCTAACGGCAGAATAAAGTCGACCCAAGAAGGAAGAAGTAATTTTGGATAAAAATTACATTTTAAAATAACTTACGATTTGACTGTTACCAGTTGTGGCGCATAGTTTTTTTCAGTCTTTCTATCTTTTTGGAGGTCTTTTACCCACCGAAACAAGTCGTTCATTGGAACGAGTATTAAAAATGAATCGTGAGCTTTGATTCACCACTTAGAATGCGGTTTGTTCAATTGAATCAATAGCCTCGAACCAAAAGCCTAAACAAAAATCATGGATATAAAATTCAAGCGAAATGAAACTTATTTACAAAAAAGATCTATAGGCTTGGTTGATTCAATTCACTAAAAAGTCCGTAGTGCCCATCACTAGAACCGCTATTGACTGTTACATAGTTCGTAATAGATAATTTTACAAAAACAAGCGATCGGATAGAATTATTATAACCCAAACAATTAATTGTACGCACTTAAAATAAACGGCTACTCCATAATAAATAAGCTGAAATCAGTTTTCAATTAGAGGAAAATTTACATAGGAAATCTGGATCGATGTGTGTATTGTGTATTTAACGAAACCAAATAGTTTAGTTTATTTCTGGATAGACAATAGCTAGATCGTCCAAAAAGCATTTTTAGCATACTTTTTCCGTTCTTTTTTTTTATAGAAATTCTGGACTATTTGCCAATTCTATTATGCGGCTTAGCCATTAACTAAATGTATGTGTGTCGTAGTTACGAAATGCACGCATTGTTGTAAATGATGCGGTCAACCGTTTATACACAAATCGGTTATTCTGGGAATGTTGTTGCGGGTCTGTTTTGTCACGCTGGGCGACCTTTTCAAGGATGCCAACCGTGCAATCATTGCTTTTTGTAGTACGTATGTAAAACAAGCGGTGTTGGTTCCAGTCGGTTTAATCTGGGAGACAATGCTAGCGATGGGTTTGTGTATTAATTATTTTCGTAATCAGATATATGTGTTTATTTTTATGTTTTTTCTGATTTTTTTTGAACGGTTTAGAAATAGATTTATGCGTCTTTATGAATCTTTTATAATTTTTCTATAATCAGTATTAATTTTAATATTTAAGCGATATACAGGGTGTTTCAAAACAAATGCGAAAAACTTCAGGGGGCGATTCCTTGTTCAAAATAAAGGGTAGTTTGCTTCATAAACGTTGGGTCAAAAGTCAACCATTAGGGAGATATCGTGGTACAAAGATGGCGGAAAAATAATGTTTTTAATTTTTATCTTGAAAACGAAAAGAGATAGACTAATAAAATTTTATGGAAGCATTACTGTTATGAAAACACACTTTCTGGTAATTTTTTCACTTTTTTAAAATTAGTGGAAGGGGTTGAAATAAACACTCTATCATTCTTGTTAACGAAATTTAAAGAAAAATCTTATCAAACACATGCAAAAATTAATTTGGATAGTTTAGTTTGTTTAGAAACTTTTTTTATCTCTTGTATTTTTTGATAAAACTCACCGATTTGAAATTAAAAAATAAAATGTAAAGCATTACATGTCAGGACAAAAAATATTTTCTGATAAAGAATCTAGTGGGCTGCTGTAATATTTTTAGGAAAAAATCTAGTCGGCCGCTGTTACTTTTTAGGATGTTCCCAATATTATTTTATTTGACATTATTCTACTGCAATACGTTATTATCTAGATGATTATTATTATCGTTATTATCACTAGATTCTTAATCTAAAAATGTTTTTTGTCCTGACATGTAATGCTTTACATTTTATTTTTTAATTTCCAATCGGTGAGTTTTATCAAAAACACAAGAGATAAAAAGTTTCTAAACAAACTAAACTATCCAAATTAAAGCATTTGCATGTGTTTGATAAGATTTTTCTTTAAATTTCGTTAACAAGAATGATAGGGGTAGTTTATTTCAACCCCTTCCACTCATTTTAAAAAAGTAAAAAAATAACCTGAAAGTGTGTTTTCATAACAGTAATGCTTCCATAAAATTTCATTAGTCTATCTCTTTTCGTTTTCAAGATAAAAAATAAAAACATTAATTTTCCGCCATCTTTGTACTACGATATCTCCCTAATGGTTGACTTTTGACCCAACGTTTATAAAGCAAACTACCCTTTATTTTGAACAAGGAATCACTCCCTAAAGTTTTTCGCATTTGTTTTGAAACACCCTGTATAATCCCCGTGTCCCTCGAGCAACAAAAATTGAATATTGATATCTTTTTTTAATATATGAAGATGTAAAATAATATTATTAATAAAATAAATTACTTGATGAGGCCTATAATACTAGTTACTAAATTTTCCTCTTCCCTTTGTTCCAGAATAGAATGTCGAATGGCTCCTCAACCCCCCGCAGCATCGCGCGCCCTTTTGCGCCGCCGCGATGAGCTCCCCGGGGGGCGGCGGCGGGGAACCAGGCGCCGCCGCCCGCGCAGCCGCCTCTTCCGGCGACTGCGCAGCCCTCTCGCGTCTCCTACCCGCGCGAGGACCCGCCCGCTTTACTCGCGATGCTCTGGGGCGCACCGCCATCCACGCGGCGGCGGCCAACGGTCGCGCGCAGGCGCTGCGCATGCTGCTGGCCGTGGCTGCGCCGCAGGAAGTTGATGCGCCGGACGGGGCGGGTTGCTCGGCGCTGCAGCGCGCCGCTGCTGACGGCCACGAGGAGGCGGTGAGGGTGCTGGTGGCCAAGGGAGCGAGGGTGGACACCGTGGATACTATGGTGAGTTTTAGTGTGATCTTAGTGTGTTTTTTTGTTTGTTAATGAATTTAACTGATAATTTATATGAATACTAGTTTTTTTCGCGACTTAATAAACTGTTTTGTAAAATTACATTTTTTTGTGAAACTATATAAAAATATCTAATTTTTACAAGTTTCTTATTAAAAATACAATAATATATCAATATGTTTAGCCGACCATACCAACAGGTAGGGTAGGCTATTAAGATCGGCAAAAAAAGTTTTTTTTTAATTTCACTCAAAATGAGTTATTTGCGTTATAAATGACCTAAATACAAAATATTTTCATGGTGTCTGTCTGTCTGTCTGTCCATCTGTAAAACGATAACTCAAAAACCGCTAAACCGATTTTAACCAAATTTGGCACAAAAATACTCTGGCACCCGGGAATCGGGCCATTAGTTTTTGGTGGGAATGGGTTTTGGTAAGGGGGTATGGGAGGGGGTTAAAAATTTAAAAAAATCGTAACTCCAAAATTACAGTAGCTAGCGAAACGCGGTTTTCAATTTAAGATTAGGAATAATATTTGCAACAAAATTTGTAATAACATCAAAATCAAAGTGGCAGTTTTTGAGATATTCCATTTTTCCGTAGTCCGTTTTTGAGACTTGTTGTGTCTAGTTGTAATTGATAGTCTAGACATAATACACTAGACAAAAACGTTTTTGATTAAAATAGTTTTGTTCTTTCTGTGGGCGTTAGACTTTCAAACAATTTTGTATAACCTTGTTTGCTTATGCCATTTTGTACAAAAATTACTCGTTTTTATTGACTCAAGTGAAGTATAGTTTTATTTTTGCAGTATCTTACCAGCTTCACTGATATTTCATATAAACATTGATATGTTTTTGTAAAAGAAAACATTTTCTAGAAATAACATCGCAATATGTTGTCCAAATGGTACAGAAAACAGCAGGAAATGCACTTTTTAATTCGCGATTCGAATAAGATATAACATTTCTGACATTTCTGATTGACAGGTTTACTTTCTGCTTTGATAATATTATTTTTTATTAGAAACATCTAAGAATTTTAGTACTATAATGTAAGAGAGAATAAGAAAAATAAAATATTTTTTTTTTATTTATATAGCATAATATATGAATGGTGTTAACATCAATTTAATATTCAATCAACATAAATAAAAGAAGCCAAACTTACCTTGGATGCCTGATCTACACAATACTTTTCACTCCTTGAAATATATATTACGTGTTTTGCAATCTATAAAAATAAAATATACTTGAGCATCACTGGAAAACGCACACAATCACATTACCATAATGGAGTATATAAAATAGTTAAATATGTTTGTTATTGTACCGTAGCTAAGGCCACAAGGCGTCTCACCTACATATAGGCATGGCCCAAAAGCGACATAGTCGTAGCTTAGGCCAGAAGGCGTCTGACCTACATATAGGCATGGCCCAAAAGCGACATAGTCGTAGCTTAGGCCAGAAGGCGTCTCACCTCTGCACCTGGCCTGTCAAAACGGCCACAATCAGTCCTGCAGGGAGTTGCTGCTTTCTGGAGCCGATCCTGATTTAAGGAATGGATATGGGGATACCGCTCTGCATACTGCTGCTCGCTATGGGCATGCGGGTGTAACAAGAATATTAATATCAGCAAAGGTATGCTCTTTTAACTTCATTAATTTATTAACTAAATTTTATGCCACTAATATTTGTATAATAATATATACAAAAAAATCACACAATGATTATTTTTAAAATTTATTTTGCTTTTGATCTTGAAAACGTCGAGATGTGTAAACGCTCTCATAAATAATGCGACAAAATTCTGTGAAAAAAGTGGCATGTAAAAAATCCGAGGCATTTCCTTTACAAACAGAAACAAAAACGATGTCGACCATTACGAAAATATTTGCGAAAAATGCCGGCAGAATATGAATCGGCAGAATATGAATTAGTCTGTCGATTTGGACATCACACTGCTTTTCAGTTTATTCGATTGTTAATATATACAGTAACAGTTTACATTAAAAAAAAATCAGCGAAGACAAATAGCACAGCTGTGTAAAAATAAGATAATCGTTAAAATAATTTATATAATAAATTAAAAAGTTAAAATAATTTATATATTTATACTTTGAATAAGAAGACTAAGGAAGGAGCATACTGCTATCCATGTATTCATGCATGGTGGGCGGAAAAAGCGCCATAAAAGCAGTCTAGGGTGGGGATCCTTGACAGTTCTGTTTGACGATTCATTTGACACATTTGAATTTGATTTGAAATTTTGTGGATTTATCAGTCTTTACGGAGCTTATTTTATGTTATTTATTATTTATTCTACTACTGATAGTTGTATAAAGGTAGTAAATCTAGATGGAAATTGTGAAAAACACTATCGCGATTTATCGAAAAAGACTCTAAAATAGTTGGTTGTGTAGCGTGCGGTAGATCTCGGCAAAAATTGAGTGAAATAATGGAACAACTTTTCGCTAGTAAGTGACTATATAATATACATACGTGTAGTAAACCGATCATTTATGAAATTCACTTAAATTAACTAAATTATATATTTTCTTGCATTTTAGCTTTTATTTATTACTTGTCAAAGATTAGATGTCAAAGAATTTAGATACGTTAATTTGACTTACCTGCTTCAGTAGCGTATCGGATGTTTGTGGTAATAAATACTTATTATAACTTATCTATTTTTATTAGAATTATATATTTTTATAACAAATTTTAATAACTACCAACATTTATTCACAACGTAAAATAAAACAACAAATTATTGAGTCTACCCCACGTCTACCCTACATCATAGTTTTACATTTTTTAAATAAAATTAGAACGACACTGATAAACCGGAATTTAAATCGGCCATATTTGAGGCCCATCGCGGTGTACCTAAGATTTTTGATATGCTCCTTCCTTAGTCTTCTTATTCAAAGTATTTATATAATAATAATATTTACTGACCCTACCAGATTATAGAGTTTTATTTTTTACTGATTTAATATAAGCATATGTCGTCTTGGTTACGCTAGCCATAAATAGAGCTGTAACTCTCTGTGGACGTTATTAACGGGAATTTTACAGGGTGGTCCGAACTGTATTCCGGAAACTTCGGCAGCATATTCCGCAGATAAAAATAAGTAAAAAAGTTCGTATAAATGTATGTCCTAAAATGCTTAGTTTCGGAGACACAGGGTGTAGAAATTTCATTTTTATTTCGATTTTTTCCACATAATTTCTGAAGAAAAGTCAATATTTGAATGAAAATTGGTGTCTGGGAGTTTTTTAACCTGAGAAATTTGATTTTGATGTCAATATGGCTCCTACTAGTAGAGGGCGCCACCTACATATTTTTTAACCGGTTTGAAGAGTAATAACTTCTCGTCCGTACCTGTATAAAACTACTGAGTAAAAAATATACATTTACGAGGTTTTTTACGTAAAAAGGTCTCTTGGTAAAAATCGCTGCGAGTAATGGTTTTCGAGATATTTGGAATCAAAATTATTAATACCTGTCATCATTGACATTAATTAAACATGTTGACTAAATAGTTATTAAACTGAAATCATAAATTTGAAATATTTTTGTGCCAAAAGTTCAACAGAAACTGTTTTATCGAGGGGTAAACCGCAGAGGGAAAAGTGTACACCGTAATTCCTTTTACTCAAATAATTCCTCAGAATTCCTCGTAATTCCTTCGGAATTCCTTGGAATTCCTGGTCTTCAAGGTCAAGGTCAATCATTCAAGGTCTTCCTTGGAATTCCTTGGTACGAACTCGGTAACTCTTTCAGTCTGAACCAGCGTTGCCACCTCGGTTTCGCAGTTCCGCTATGAATTTTCTGGTGATTTTTATAAATGTCTAATGTCTCTATAAGTACTAGATCTAACAATAAAAAGTACTATTACGAGATTTACGTTTTTTTAGTTAAATTTTAGGACTAATAGGGGATCATGAGGTAAAAATACTGGAAATATGTCGGCACTTACTTATTAAAATTAATTTTTCTCGGGATTTTTTGAAAATGATAGGTACCTAGTTATACTCGTATCTATAGGAAAGGAAATTAATAAAACTTCAGTTGCACGTCATAATACGATCACCAGTAAATTCCATAAGATTACGCATGGTATCATTGATGAAGTGCACCTAAAGTTGTATTAATTTCCCTATAGTATATACCTAGGTATTATTCCGAGGAAATGAAAAAATTAACTTTACACTTTCTGAGTACTGAATAAAAAATCTCTTATGAGGGTTTCTTTAAAATGGCGAAATCAGGGAACGTTATAAATAGATCTCGGGGGTGGTTCGGCCGTACTATTGGAAAATATTTTAGATATATAATCGAGGGTACAATATTAAATTAAAAGAATATCTAACCTGTAGATATTTGATATTGGGAAATTTTGGAAGCGAAAACGAAAAACGGATAGTAAAAAATCGCCTGCAAAACGTTTTTCTTTAAATTTAGTACTACCTATTATAGTATTCATGGTTTACTAATGTTAGTTAATTTTTTATAAAGTTGCTTGTAATTCCTCTTAATTCCTGTGGAATTCCTCTAAATTTCTAAGGAATTCCTTGGAATTCATTGGAATTCTTACGGAAATAATTGGAATTCCTACTAATTCCTATGGAATTCCTTGGAATTCCTCGTAATTCCTTGGAATTCCTGTAGAATTCCTTCATAGTGTACACCATAATTCCTCTGCGGTTTACCCCTCGTGTTTTATCATCATTTTTTGCAGAAAAATTTATGATTAATTTAAAAAAAATAAAACTTTTCAAATTTATTATTTCAGTGAAATAACTATCTACTCAAGGTGTGTTTATTTTTCGTCAATAATGACATGGTATTGACTATTTCCATTCTAAATATCTTAAGAACGGTTGCTCGTAGCGATTTTTACAAAGAGATATTTTTTACGTAAAAAGTCACAGAGATGTATATTTTTTCGCTCGGTAGTTTTATACAGGTACCGACAAAAAGTTATTAAGCTTCAAAGCAGTGAAAACACAGGAGTCATATTGACATCAAAATCAAATTTCTCATGTCAAAAAACTCCTAGACACCAATTTTCATCCAAATATTGACGTTACTTCAGAAATTATTTAGAAAAAAACGAAATAAAAATGAAATTTTACACCCTGTATCTCTGAAACTAAGCATTTTAGGACCTACATTTATACGAACTTTTTTATTTATTTTTATCTGCAGAATATGCTGCCGAAGTTTCCGGAATACAATTCGAACCACCCTGTATATGGCATAATTCTCTCTACCTTTTATATGTAACAATCATGAAATACAATAGAGATTTTGAGTAATATTATAAAATAAAAATGGACACTTATCTAACTGTAATAATTTATTTACATCATTATGTCAGGTATAATAAATTTACAAGAGAACAGTTTCATCGATATATTCCCTGTTACAAAATGATTCACAGTTTGGTCGAAGCTTGTCGTGCTTCTTCAGCTTTTTTAATATTTCCTCCAAAAAATTCGTGCAAAAGGCGTTTTTTTTTTGACAAAAAACTGTAATGCTAAATTTGATACTAACTAAAAAATATACAGGGTTTCTCACCTAGTTAGAAGTTTTTGAGGTTAGGAAAAACTTAGAAGTTTGAAATTTTGAGGGTTATTTAAAATTTCCTTTCACTTAAAAATATTTTCAAGGTCATACCACTTCCGGTTACACCGGAAGTCGCCATTATCTTCCTTATTTCAAATGGAATACCCTGTATATTATTTAATTTTTGGACTTCTCAGAAAATTTTATGATGAGTTTCATTAGATTTCCCTATACCTATTTTCAACTGTTTCTCAGATATCTTGATTTATTTGAAAATTTTTACATTTTTACCCCTATTTTTAACAGTGGGTTTTTACTCATTTTGAATTGGTGATAAACGCTCCTGCGGTAAACTGGAGCAGAGGACTAATAATTTCGAAGTCCATATTGACAACTAATTTATCTCATACAGGGTGTCCAAAATTCGATAACTGATTAGATTATATTCAAACTCAAAAAAGTCCATTTTTTCAAATGAGACACCCTATATTTTTTTCGATAGTTGGATGCAGAATTCAATTCTGTATCGATTTGCTATATCTTTCCCTATACCCATTTTCAACGGTTTTCTTTTTAATCCGTATATTTTACTTTAATTCAATTTTTGGCAGAATCGACAATATCGTTTGTATTTTTTAAAATAAAATAATTATGTTAAAGTAATGAAATTGAATGTAATTAGAACATACGAACAAAACAGGAACAAAATGAAAGTGAAAACGTATAAAATATAACATAACATAACAAAACAAACGTATAACAGTAACGGTAATTATTAACACTAGACGTTAGTGTATCGCTACCATAATAAAAAAAAATAAACACAATAATTACAAAAATTATTGTTCGAAGTTAACTTTTTTTATTATTGTATGGATAAACGTCTAGTATTAATAATTAATGCCTCACCGTTACTGTTGAAAATACGTTTGTTTTGTTTTGTTATGTTATATTTTATACGTTTTCACTTTTGTTTTGTTCCTGTTTTGTTCGTATGTTCTAATTTCATTCAATTTCTTTACTTTAACATAATTATTTTCTTTTAAAAAACACAAACGATATTGTCGATTCTGCCGAAAATTGAATTAAAGTAAAAAATACGGATTAACAAGAAAACCGTTGAAAATGGGTATAGGGAAAGTTATAGCAAATGGATGCAGAATTGAATTCTGCATCCAACTATCGAAAAATATACAGGGTGTCTCATTTGAAAAAATGAACTATTTTGAGTTTGAAAATAATCTAATCAGTTATCAAATTTTGGACAACCTCTATGCAATAAATTAATTGTCAATATGGATTTCGAAAATATTAGTCCTCTGCTTGAGTTTACCGCAGAAGCGTTTATCACCGATTCAAAATGAGTAAAAGACCGACTGTTAAAAATAGGGGTAAATCTGTAAACATTTTCAAATAAATCAAGATATCTGATAAACAGTTGAAAATAGGTATAGGGAAACCTAATAAAACTCATCATAAAATTTTTTTAGAAATCCAAAAATAAAATAATATACAGGATGTTCTATTTAAAATAAGGAAGTTAATGGCGACTTCCTTGTGAAGTGGTGTGACCTTGAAAATATTTTTAAATGAAAGGAAAGGTTAAATAATCCTAAGTCTCAAAATTTCAAACTTCTAAGTTTTTCCTAACCTCAAAAACTTCTAACGAACGGCTACGGTGAGAAACCCTGTATAACTAACTGAAATACTATAATCTTTATAAAATAACTATGTAACATCTTCGCGAATAAACTGTTTTAATAAGTGGCAACCTAGCATTTCTCTGTTTACATCTAGTTTGTATATCTTGGATCCTTTTGTTTTGCACAGGTCTTCATCGTGGACAAAATAAAGTATGCCCGAATTTTCTTCAACGGGAGTTTTTCGTTTTTTCAAACCCGCTACTTTAAGTAAATAAAAACGTTTAATAAGTTCATAGTCACTAGGTTCCTTAATATCTTTTTCTCTTGCATACTTAGCTTTTGCTATGACTTCATTACATTGCAAAAATGAAAAACGAGCACTAATACATTCCTGCGAGTGCCTAGTTTACCTAAATTTTTCACAGAAAATTTCTTCCATGGGGAAAATACCACACAGCACTTTTTACAACGATAAATAAACACTTATGCATAACCACAAAAAACAAACCGAATTTACGCCAGAGGTCTGTCAACGTTGCCAACGTTTAGCCCAATTTAATGTTATCCTTATATTGCCTATTATTCAACTTATCCCTAGGTATCCTTATATTTTACAACGTGTGGAAGTGAATCTTTCAAACTCACTGCTATCCTCCAGGGAACGATAGTGCACTAGTAAAAGTTGGTTTCAAAAAAAGCTGTTTAATAACTTTTACTGGCGTAGTCTTAGCAAATCAGTGAATGTGAGCTTCACTAGTAATTGTTAATAATCACTGATTTCCAACTTTTACTGTAACATAATATACTATATTCGTTCTATTCTTTTTGTTTTACCAATTTTTTTAAGAGATATACTCATTTAAAACACGTTTTTCTTTATTCTTAGTGTAAAGTATCAGAAAGAAACAAGAATGGCGATACGGCCCTGCACATATCCGCCGCGATGGGCCGCAGGAAACTGACCAGGATCCTGCTCGAAGCGGGTTGCGACAAGACCGTCAGGAACAAACAGGGTGAAACAGCCAGAGACATAGCTTTCAGAAAAGACTTAGGGGAGATTATCGATATTTTGGACGATAACAACACCAGGGAGGGAAGACGGAGTAAAAAGGACAAGGGAGGTAAAAGGAGGTCGAAGAGTAAGGTTAGGTTCGAGGGAAGACAGCCCAAAGAAGCAAAAGGTGAGTTTGTTATAATAATATTGCTCAATTTGTATTTTTTTTAATTAAAAATATGCTTTAAGAGTCCATTTTTTGACCAACTTCAAATTGAAGGTTACCGAGTCGATCGCTTTCAAATAAAAATATTACTTACATTTACTAGTATTTGGCATAAATCTATCAAATTTTTTCTTAAATAAATTTTAACTTACTTTTTGGCACCTGATTTAAGCAACCAAAGAAGTGATTTCCCGCTACACTCAGTGTATATTTATCCAGTTGTTTCCAAAAATATTTTAAAAAGCCTCCTAAAACATAAACGGATCGGATCACTCGATGATTAACCTGATTGATTTTTTATTATTGCTTGAATTTATTTTCGTTCAAGTTCAGCAATCCCTCTTCGTCATTTTAGACATTGTAACACGTGCGTAAAAGTCAACAGTTTGGTTCTGAATTAATGAGCTGAAATTTTATCTTTTTTTGAATTATTTTTGTAAGGAAAAAAGGGAAACGACATAAAAAATTATCTTTAATCGTCAGTAAAAGAATATTTTTTTAAAAGTTTTGACAATTTGACTACATTACAGTTGTTTATTTATTTTGCATGTTAAACTCTGTAAAAACATTTTATTATCAGAATAAAAACTAGGAAACTATTCGAAAAACGAATATTTCCAATAAAAATAAAAGTTATTGAAATGAACTAAAAAACAAACTATCGAGAAAAGATTTACCTAGTTGATAAAATGATTTTTAAATTACTTGCTCATGCTATGTTATAGGGCTTGTTTCTCTCTACAATTTCCTGTCTCACAATGTACCGTTTGTGTCCGGGAAGGGATCATAGTTTCATAGTTGTCGATTTTCGAAAGAAATCAGTACATGTATATTATTTCGTATATTTTTCATTTTATTGATTTTATGGAAAGCACTGTTCAATAAATGTTGTATCCTATATTATAGGGCTTGTTTCTCTCTACAATTTCCTGTCTCACAATATACCGTTTGAGTCGGGGAAGGGATCATAATTTCATAGTTGTCGATTTTCGAAAGAAATCAGTACATGTATATTATTTCGTATATTTTTCATTTTATTGATTTTATGGAAAGCACTGTTCATTAAAATGTTGTATCCTATGTTATAGGGCTTGTTTCTCTCTACAATTTCCTGTCTCACAATGTACCGTTTGTGTCTGGGAAGGGATCATAGTTTCATTGTTGTCGATTTTCGAAAGAAATCAGTACATGTATATCATTGTGCCAGTGAGTACCTAACTATAAATCAAGATTTTGATCAAATAATTCCTTAAATTCTCATAATCAATAGACTCTCTCTGACTTCTGATTAGCACACTTAATGAATGAAAAAAGCCCATTATAATATGGAAAGTCACTTTCTATCTGTGGTCGTATAAATCAATTCGAGATAATATTTCCCTTTCAATTTAAATTTAGAAACTTGACTGAAACCATGTCTTATGTCAACCGCGCTGTTTATCTATATTATAAGCTATAAAATCTTTTTTTTTTCAGTGGCTAATGCTTTATATCTGCCACAGGTTTATCTAAAATAGCAATTTGATTGCCACTCGATCGCGTAGCTGAGTTAATGTTGCGGCCAATAAGAATTATAAAAATTTAAGCGATGTTATTGGATGTTTCATTAAATTTATGGTTTAATATTTATTACGGGTACATTAAACGTAATGCTCGCGAGAATTGCTCTCATTAATTGCTTCGCTTCGCGATGGAGTGTGATTTTTCGCATCTTACATATACAGGGTCCTGCAAAAGTGCGTCGTATGGTAACATCAAACCTATGTTGGTATAGGTATGTTAAGTCATAATAAATCAATGTAAATTTGGTTAAGTTTGGAGAGTTTTTTTGACAATCTTGTAGTCTGATTGACCGAATGATTGATACCAGTCGATTTGACAGTTGTTGCCATTTGTTCTCTATATTTTTGTTTATGTTTTGATTCAAGTATTTCCTAAATATTTCAATATATCCTAGATTTTTGTTATCAAATTAACTTTTAGTTACGTAATTGAGGGCGCCATTTTTAAATTCATTGTTGCCAACCATGGAGATATTCGGCGCCAGGCTGACTGACTGGAATTTAAATTTCCCGCTGGGGATTCAGGTGGTAGCTCTGCTGCAAAAAAATGCCAAGTTACTACATTTATTTATTTATTTCCTGATATTGTCATTTGTTCTGACATTTCAGTTTTGGTTCTGTTTAGAACCTCTTTTAGTGCGAAGTGTACAATATAGCTTAATAGCCGTAAAAAAACTTATCGCAACTTTATTAGAATATTTTGAACGGGAAAGCGGTAGTAATGGCTCTTTATGTCCCTTAAGTGCTGTTAAGACGGTGAGTTTTGTTGATGTAAATAATAACTGTTTATATATTTATAATTAATTTATTTTTGTTTTCTAAAATAGTTTGATTAAAAGAAAATATGTAAAAGTGAGCAACGTTGTGCCGGTCAAGCTTAATCACGTGACTCAAAGTTTATTTGATATGGACGTATGGTATTTCTTTAGTCTATCGTAGGCGTATCATACTCGAACCCGTCCTATTCTCAGAATTAACTCATTGGAACAAAATTTCACCTGAAACTAAACCCGAGATAAATAATTAAGAAAGAATACTAATACTGTGAGGAAAAAAACTGGCCCCGACCAATTAAATATCGAATAGAGTTGTCGGACATAAAAATTATCTGCCGGTACCACTCGAAAATCCGTCTTCCTTATGGCGCACACCGGCCGCACTCAATTTGAATAACCTGTATCGCTGATGGTACTCCAAACGGGCCGAACTGAGTGGTTCTCTTGGCTCTAATGTCTTTTAAGACAAAGAGAGCTTAGTACCGGTGCCGGGTTAAGTTGGGGTACTCAGCCAGTGGCGTTGCGTGAACCATTTATAAAGCCACAATAGGTATTCCGAAAAATATGAATAAAATGTGTCCAACGAGTTAGAGAATATTTCTACAGGGGATATCCAAAAAATGATAGGAAATACAATGTGTCTGCGAATTAAAATGACAGACAACTGCCACTCTGATGTTTTATATACTTCCCGGTACAAAATTCCGCTTGTTTCATGTTTCATAATTTTTTAGTTTTAAACCCGATTTTTATGATTATGGTATCAGTTTGAAGATACATTTACTGGCATTATTTTTTTATTATTTTAATGGCTTATATTCTTCGGTTAGTTAAATAAATAAATAAATAAATAAATGCCTTTATTGTCAAAAAATTTTACAATTTGTAGACAAAGGTAAAGTAAACAAACAAAGTAAACAAATAAGGTACACAAACAAACAAACAAAAGATAATACAAAACATTATACAAATAATATTCTCAGTCTTATTGTTTAAAATAAACATTTATATAAATGTTTACAATGTCAAAGAATAAAAAAAAATAAAAATAATATTCAAAAATATTTAGTTAGTTTATAGTAAATATCAATGACCTCTGAATAAATTTATTTCGGTGTCATTGGTAAATATAGCAATAGCAAACATTAGACCAGTGTTTACAAGATCAAATTCGATTTTCAAAATATAATTCATTTACAGCGTAGAAAGCCTTGTCTAGTAAATAAGAGTTCAATGCTTTGCGAAATGAAGAAAATGAGGTTATGGATTTGATTTCAAATGGCAGGTGATTGTGCATTTTTTCGAGTTGTATAATATTGAACTTTTAACTAACTCTGAGCGTGGGGTAGGTAGATAAAGATCTTGCTCCGCGTTCCTGAGTGGATAAGTGTGAGATGGCCTTTCTTGAGAACCTGATACATGCTTACGTATTAGGCAAACGGATTCAAATATAAATAAGGAAGGAAGAGTTAATATTTTTAATTTTTTAAAAAAGTCCTGGCAATGAGTTCTGCTGTTTAGTCCCAGTAAATATCGAACAGCTCTCTTCTGGAGCCTGAAAATGCGGTCAAATTGAGTCGCACAACACGTACCCCAGAATGGAAAGGCATACCTGAGGTGCGACTCAAAAAGTGTATAATAAACGGTTCTAGCCACTGACAAGTTAAGCTCCTTAGAAACAGATCTTAATGCAAAACAGGCAGAGCTCAATTTTTTCGATAAAGCCTCGATATGCATGTCCCATTTCAGAGAATTGTCCACAACAAGCCCTAAGAATTTTACAGATTTTACGACGTTAATGGTGGTGTTGTTAAGTACAAAAGGCTGCAGCGAGTTTTTATACGACAAAGCTTTAGTTTTAGAAATGTTGAGACTCAGGAGGTTCGAATCGCACCAAGATTTAATGGTGATTAAGTCATTTGATATAATCCTATGAAGTGCCGTGACGTCCTTGTTGCTCCAAGTGGAGCTAGTGTCGTCGGCAAAAAGACATAATTTGCCACTGATGTTTATGTTAGCAATGTCGTTAATAAAAAGAAGAAACAAAATGGGGCCTAGTACTGAGCCTTGTGGTACTCCACATTCTATTGGCTTGCTAGAAGACAACGTGGTATCCACCCTCACAAGTTGACTTCTGTTGCTCAGTTACGACTTGAACCATTCGAGAGATGTTTCCCTGAACCCATAGTGCTGCAGTTTATTATTAGTTGGGTTTATACCTAGGTAAATCAAAACGTTGTTTTTTGCAATAAATTCAAAACACCCTGTGGAAAAAATGAGACGGGCATTTTGGATAAAAAAACACTTTTCTATAGTCCTAGATGTATTTCTAACCTTTTATTTTTTGAATTATCCCATTATCTCTAGTCTTTTATGAGCTACACATTTTTAAGTAAAATATTGATTTCAGAGATTCTTTTATCGTGCAATAACAGCTCAATATTGAGCAATAACAGCTCGACATCGAGCAATAACAGCTCGATGTCTTCGTCGTATCGAATTAATAAGGGTAGTTATTTTTTCTTGATCTATAGCTTGATGTTATGTATATATTTTATGATTTAAGATTACCAAGAAACTGCCAAGAAAAATGTAAAATTTTCAATAATACACTTTGAAAATG